TCTTACAAAGTCACACACAACATGATCTCCTATTCTATTCTTCTATTCTCCTATACTCAGTCTGGGTTGAAGGGCTTCTAATATGCTGTGCATTGCTGAACCAAAGACTAAGAAGTTGTAACCAAGTGTTTACCATGGACGTAAAATATCACAAAGCTAAAAAATTCAGGCTAAATACACAAGTTTGTGTATAGGAAACAAATTTGTTTGTTTGAAAGGCAGGTTTGAAAGGAACACCAATGGCTTAGTAAGTGGTGTTAACATGACTCTCCTGAAGGTCTGTTCCTCTAGCCTGACACTCTTCAAGTTTTGACATCACCTTAAACATCCTTGATGTACCTGTAGTTTATGTCACTGAACCCTGCTGATCAGACGGACCCTCAGATGCAATTTCCCAAACACTGAGTATCAAGTTGTGCTTTGCCTTGACCCAAAACTTAGGGTTCTCTTTTGCAAATTGAAAAATCATGTAGAATAAAATAGTAACTCAGATGTACCACACTTGACAGTTGATCGCTGAAGATATTAGCACCTTGATAAAAATTACAATTGTTTGTTGGATGTGCTAAAAGAAAATGGAAAAAAAAATAAAAGAATGCTTCTTTATTTACAAATCACAGTTCTCCTCACAGTGTTAGACTTTGGATCACTCTGATGTGGCCAAGTCTTAGACGATGGGCCATTTGGTTTCTCATTTGACCTCTGGCAGTCCACATGGACCAGTTGGTGGAGCTCCAGGATCAGAACCACAGGTAGCCAACTTATTGCTAAAGTGCTACTAGATTAGGAAGGTGCAACTAACTGGGTTAACTAATATGTACATTTCAGTCTTAATCTCTTTTAAAATCAACAGCTTCTAACAACATATGTTTTTATTTTTTCCCACAAAATCTGCATTGAGAATTATGGTATCATTGTACCAGAAAGACATCTGGCAGATCGGATACTTTTGTGATCTGAACATCATGTATATTTCCATTTTTGTCTCACTAATGCAATAAATTCTTATTTCGATATGTTCCCATATATTAAAGGACTAGATGATTATACATTATAGACTGATATATTTCATGATCATATAACTTGAGAAGTTATTTCTCTAGCTAATGCTGGCAGGAAGACTATTAGGAAGATTGGTTTTTCAGTACACTAATTAGCTAACTTGATCTACCTGTTTGACAGTCTAAAACTACAGGTTGTTGGCAAATAAGAAAAATGATAGAGAAAATATACCAGTTCCTTGTTTTTGTGTCTAAGTGATAGATCATCTGGACCCTGACCTTGGTTCTATGATAGCTTCTGTACTCATGGTTATTCTTAACTTCAAAATCTTAAAAAATATCACGGATTTTTATTGCCTCAAGTTTAATTATAAATAGATTAGTAATATTCACCAATCATCAGCCATAAACTATTAACAAAATATGGCCATTATTAAATTCAATCTTATTTCACAAAAGAAGTGAACTCTAAGTCATACACAAGTTCTGGACTTCACTGAATCTGGTTGCCATGCTCACCTAAACTATTACAATGACCTTGTTACTAAGGAAGGAGTCAAGGGGGAAAATGTTGGAACCAGAGATTGAGCTAGTCAGCTGTATGTCCAAGGGTGTTTTGCTTTATTGCTGTGACCAGACTGAAATCCTAGTCAGAGGCAAGCTGATGTGATCAAAGTTGTCCCTCCTTGCCCAAGTCCTATTTGCACTCCATGAGATTCCTTAGTAGTAGTGCAAAGTCACACTCTATCAGTGGAGACCCCATATTTGTAGAAATATCCATGACTACTAATATTTGAAAAACTTAAATTCAATTTGTTTACTCTCACTATCGAATCTTACCAATACTAGAGACCAAACGATTTTCACTAGTATTTTGGAAGCAGCAAAGGATAAAATTGGGTTTAATTATCATCAATGTCTCTCAGAGGTTGTGTGTACACAAATTTCATGGAATACCTCAACAGCTCCTTGTCCAAGTTTATCAGTAGGAAATGAATGGACCTGGTTCTCATTTGTGTCTTGGCTTCTGTGGAAGCTTCCAGGCTATCTATACCTCACGTTTAGAACTGAGACCTTAGTTGGTTGAATAAGATTTTTCTTATCTGTGACTTGAAAAAAGTAGTATTAACGAAACCCAAAAGAGCTATTAATGTCACTACAAGTAATGAACACTACCAGTCAAGAAAGATTAAATTTAAAACTTCCTTAGAGAGGAAAACTAAAATATTAGAATAAGGATACTTGGGGAATATATACACATATGCCTATTTCACGCAGAAAGCCTTCTGTAAAAAAATACAAAAGCAACCAGTGCTGTACATTATGTAAACTCACAAAGTATACTTTATACACAAACATGAAGCATAAATTAAAAGTAGGACAACAGCAAAACATTTTAAATATAGAATTTGCACATATTTTTGTTAAATAAGAATAAATACTTTTGTCACACAAATTCACATACCAGTCGCAAAAAACAATAAATTACTTTGTTTTTTCAGTGCTGCAACTTTATTTTTGTTTGTGATTCATCCCTTAATTCTTAGTTTAATGGGATAAAACTGTTTCCACAGGAAGGCAAAGGAAGTTGAATTGACTGGCTCGATTCAAATAATGCCCTTAAACTCTTAACAAGGCAGGGCTTAATTTGGCCTTTTCTGTTCTGGAAGAAAGAAATGCGGTTTTCTTCTGTGCTCCCCTTATTCAGTGAAACTTAATCTGAAGTGTTTAGTTTTGTGGGATTAGATTCTTACTAACCTGAGCATTTTCAGACAAACTTTTTTCCCCCCAGGGAAGGAGCCTCAGCCTCACAAATCACAGACTCCTTTTTCACGATGCAAGTCTGGAAAGGTAAAATGCATAGTCCAGCATCCAACTGGTCTGAACTAGATTTCACGATGGAGGATTTTCCCTTACCATTCCTTTTATCTACTGAATTTCAGTCTCCAGTCTGTATCGGTGTTCTCAGGAGTTTAGATAGACATACATTCCTCAGTCCATCTAGTGATACTCATATGAAAAAACTAAAGAAAACTCCTTAAAAGCATACAATAGTGGTTTATTCCTTTTAAGCTCTCTTTGGATCGTTTCACTGAGAAGTATAAAACTTCATTATATGGGGGAAAAATAAATGATAAACCATGGTAAAAAAAACTCTATGAATACAGTATAGAGAAGCAGAGTAGGAGACAAGCATGTTTGCCCTTCTATTACTTCTTAATGTTGCCATGAACATAACCACAAAAGATAGAAATAAACTTTGTCAGGATTGAGTTAATTGATTAGAATGATTTTGAAACTGGGAAAAAGTAATGTTGGCCTTTTACTAATTCTCTCGCAATAGTCAAATGGTGTGATATAAACATTTTTTTCTGACTGATTTGGATAGCTTTGTTACCTCTCCCTGATATCTGCTGAACTCCATCAAATGTTTGGAGGCTAAAAGTTCTATATGGGCCTCACTTTTCTAATTAATAATTTATTAAGAATAAATGACCAAGTCTAAAGCAAAAAGAGTCTATGAAAAGCCAAAGGATGATTATCAGTTTTGTAAAACAATTATTTGTTTTACCAAATAATTTCCTAAGAAAATATTTAAAACAGTGAGACATCCATTCTTCACACCCACTGAAATGAATGTGATATAACTAGATCAATTACATAATTCTTTTATATTAAAAATATCTTCTAATAAAAATAAACTCTTGTGAGCTTAAGGGAACTCAAACAATGGTCCCTTAACACCTTTATATGCAAACCTTTAATAGTAGGCACATTTGGTATGATTATTATAAAATTTTATAACAAACAATTGGCTTTGTAATATTTCATAAAGAAAAAGAAATCCCAATGAAATTGAACACCTTGGATTTTCTGAGTTATGAGGTGCAGGGGTGCAGTTTACTGCTTAAAAAAATATTTTTATGCATATGATTGTAAAACTTTTCCATATCTAACATCCAAACTTAACAACCTACCTAGACAGACTATGGAAATAGAAGCAACAAACTTCTCAAAAATCATCACGTTTCATCACTCAAACACTTATGGGTACAACCAAATGCTTTTCAATTGGGAAAAATCTTAAGTACGGTATCAGTATACTTGGATTTTAAAAAGAAAATGCAAGGAATTATTGCCTGTATGGTGTGGAAACAGTCTTATTAATATTAAACACTTTTTTTTTTTTTTTTTTAGCAAGAGCCACATTAATGATCACCACTTCTAGATGTGGCTAACTACAAAGTGATCTTTAATACTCCTCTCAAACTAAGTCAGCAAGAAGTACAAAACACTGAAGGTCTTACAGAACCCTTGAACAAACAGACAAGCGAAAACAAACACATTTTAAAGGCTTGCTGGTAAGAGGTATACCAGTGTTGAAGGTGTCAGATGTGAACAGAAAACTCTGCAGTGTGTTTTGCATGAATATTACACAATATAAGGTATCAGATGAAAGCTTCTGAATGGGGAAAGTGGTGTGAAAATACAAATGACTATGGTGAAATATGCTCTTTTATTCCCTTTTAAATTCTAACACGAGAAAACTAGTTTTTAGAGTGAGAAACTAGTTTTCAGACTCTTGAATACTCATAACACACACACACACAAACACTATTACTACTTCCTAATTATGCATCAGTTTGGCTGCCTGGAAAAATGCAGGCAGTTGAAAGTTTAAGAAAATGGACTCGTGTATGTATTTAAATGACTAGATACACTGAGATCCTTTTTCTGTTTAGAATTTCTCAGAAGATGCTTGCTGTCAAAATGGTTTTTGACTAAAATTTGATCTCCTATAGTCTGAAAGTATGTGAAATCTTATTAAAACAGCAGCAAGTTCTTAATTTCCAGTAAAACATCCACAGCTCTTTCTGGAAACTAGGAGTTGAAATAGCTGCAGACCTACTTTGGTCAAACATTTTTTATAGAAATATATATATGTATGTGTGTGTGGGGGTACACACACACACACACACACACACACGCACACACACGTTTTTTTTATAGAACCAAGTGATATAAAGTGACATACCAAGGGAGAATGTATTTACAAACAGTAAAAATAAGCTATGGTGTATTGTGGATGATAATGATTATGATGCCTTTGAAGACATTCTAGAAGAGGTAGGTGACAAGGGGGAGACTGTTGTTCCATCATCTTCAAATGTCCCCTGATTCTACATTCATCAGTGTTTTTCTCATTCTTGTAGCCCAGGGGATGTTCGATAACTCCCAAGTGTTTCTAGATTCCAAGGTCACCACTGTTCACATGAAACAGTGCACATCTTCCTTTGGTCACCGAGAGCAGATTCTGCCCATAAATAGACTCCTGTTGACAATGCCATCGAAGCGTGACTTTCTGTGCGTTAGGTAGACCTCTTTTCACCACGACTGATCACCACCATTGGCCAGGACTGATCCGTGATGAAACATCCAGTTATCTCTGCGAAAGATCATCACCACAGGCTAACATTTCTTGAGCAAACATTGCTTAAATGCGGAAGGCCTCTGAGAGAGAAGACATCCCTTCGCTAACTTGCGGTTTGCATCCTGGCACTGCACCGTTCTGGTGTGCCAGCCCGTGTCACAGGTTCTAGAACAGGCGAGCCATGGGCCTGTCACCCACTGCAGTTGTGGAGTGGGCGAGCCCACTTTATTGCTCCCATGGCTGGTGACAGAGTTGACTTTTTGGGCGGACTTTTTGGGAACAAAAAAACTGTAACGGACATCTAATGCTTTAGTGGGATCAGTTGCAAGAATCTGCACTATGAGAATTTCCTTTGTAGCTGAGTAGCCCATCCCGTGCAAAAAGTCATCCCTGTGGCTCCAACCGCTGTAGTTCATGACGGTTCCATTGATGTCGATGATGGTTTCTGAGGTGGAGATCATGTACTTCCCATTGATAAGGTACTCACCATTTTTCTTCTTCAGGGCTAAGTAGGCAGTGAATCGAGTCTGGTCTTTGGCTTTGAACTGTCGGACTTTTATGTGGGTTGCCCCTTCTGGGATCCTTACCACATCAGTGTAACCCTTACTGGAAGCAAAAATGTCCCCAGAGGAGAGAAGTGGAGAGAAAGAGAGAGGAAAGCATGAGAGGGAGAAAAGGAAAAAAATAAGTAAACACTTAATAAATCGACAAACAAATCAAAGTTCTCTGAAAATCTTACCATTACGCAGTTTTAACGTAGTTAAGAATTCATTTAAAATTGGCTTCAAAGATTAGCTTTCTTATAACAAAATAAAATTAAAATTAGACTATGATATTGTATACATTTTTATTACGATGTTCAAAATTAGGATGATGTTAGCAACCTTTGTTTTAAAAATGTGCACCCACTTCATTTAAAGATTTACAAAAACATTTTACATCCTTATCAAATCAAATAGGATACATGTAGACACAAACAAAAATCTGCCCTCACTCTCACAGAAAGCTTTAAATTAATGTGTCTCAAACTCATTTGCATATTTAAATCATGTGGAGAGCTTTTAAACATTTTAATCCCCAGACCCCAGGCCAATTAAACCCCATCTGTCAGAATGGGCATAGGCAGCAGGACTTTGGCAGTCCTTCCAAATGAGCAGAGCAGTTGGGGAACCATGAGTTTCACTGTTGAACTAGAGACAGAGTGGAAGCTCTCCTTCTATTTCAACTAGAACACTGGATTTCTTGAGCAGAAAACAAATGAAATATAAAATTCTCTAAGTGTGTAACCATAACTTACCAGTATCATCAAAAGAAAAAAAATAAAGAACCTTTAATGCCATAGCAAATTTCCTCGGATACTTTGTGTCCATGAACACTATGATAGATTGAGTGAGGTTTTATGATGGGTGACAAATAAAGTAGGTCTCTAATGAGCCATCATCTGCTCAGGAAAATGGGCAAAGGCATCAATATCTCTAGCATCCGTAGCTTTGGAAGAAGGCTAGGACAGAAATGCCAATTAAGTGCCAAGGGACTATACCAGTAAGGAGTCATTTGTGAAACTCTTTGCCTCTATAAGTGATTTTATAATGAGGTCACCCCATGTTTTGCTTTCTTAGTTATTTGAATATAAAGAAATAAATTGTCTGTGAAGTTTGATGTGTATGAAATTTAATTAACTACCACTAAATTCTTATTCAGGTTTGGAGGTGATAGGGCAACTGATTCATACCCTGAAAATCCAAGTATTATTTCCCCTGCCCAGGCATTCCCCCTGAATTAGAGGGGAGGATCCTCCAGAGGGAAGCCTGCTGTCTACTGGGCATCTGATGGACAGGGACTGATGGCTACACAGGGGTCGGAGTTTCCTACTGCTGGGAAGAAAGAAATTACAATACTGATCTTGCTTATCCATTCAACGTGACTCATTATTTTTAGCTTTGTAATACAGTTTAGATTAGGATTTGTTACAGGATTTATTTATTTATTTATTTGAAATATCTAATAGCAAGAGATCATATGCAAACCTACAGTAGCTTTGAACAAAACCAGGAGGGATGTTGGAGAGAATATCTCATCTTAACATAGAAAACATACAAAGTGTAGGTATATATATTAAACATATAAAGTGTTTGAACAAGTGCACACTAAAACCAGTGGCCGTGTTAGGCTCTAAAGCCATGACCCCTTACTCGCAGTTTACTCCTTTCCTGAAATCTTCCCCACCCCAACCTCTGCCAGTCATATTTTCTAGCATTTATGTGAAAATATGTTCTGGTTATATTCAGAGTTTAAATGATACCTATCAGAGAGTAAAGAAAATAAAGAATGCAGGGTAAGGGAAACTGGTAAGAGAGCATTTTTTTAATGCTTATTCCTGAGAGCCTGTCTCAGATTCATGAGAAACAGTTGGGACTGGCAGCACTGCTGGGGTCTTCAGATGGAGCTTCACAAGGCCACGGCCAGTGGGAGGACTGGTGCCTTGATCTCTTAGTGCCTTAGTAAAATATGATTCTCTTATTCTCCCGGTACTGAGCAACAGAAGGACTGAGTTGCCATTTACTGAGACGAAGAACATTGAGAGAGGGGTGCATTGAGGTTACGGTCGTATTTGTGAAGTGGTTTTAGCTTGATGAAATATTTTAATATGCATGATCTCATTGGATCCTTGCAGCAATATGAACTTGCAAGAACATTACTATTAATTCCATTTGACTCTCAAGAATTCTGATAGTAAAAAAATAAAAATAAAAAATAAAAATGAAGTGACTCTCGAGAGATCACACAGTCTTTGTAAATCACTGAACCAAAGCTTGATTACAAAGATTTCAGCTCCAAGATCAATGTCCTTCTTTATACACTACACTAGGCCAAGGTAATTTATCTGGAAACATTAAACAGACCATTTGTACCACATAATATAATCTTGGTCAAATCAATTTGCAAGCTGTCAGGTTGCCCACCACTTATTGCTCTCATGAATTTCTTCATCTTTTCATGGGACAACAAATGTGCAGATACTGGTTGCCAATCCAAAAAACAAAATGTCAAATTTACTATTTAGAAAAAGTGGCTTCTAAGTTTATGTAGGAAGACTACATAGTACGTAGTACATAAGGTATTTTTTAAAAGATTTTATTTATTTATTTGACAGAGATCACAAGTAGGCAGAGAGGCAGGCAGAGAGAGAGGGAGAACCAGGCTTCCCACTGACCAGAGAGCCCGACGTGGGGCTTGATCCCAGGACCCTCAGATCATGACCTGAGCAGAAGGCAGAGGCTTAACCCACTGAGCCACCCAGGTGCCCCTACATAAGGTATTTAATTTCCTACTTGATTCCTGAATTTCTTCTTCCTCCTTCCTTCTTTCCTTTTTTTCTGCCCTAAGATATAGACTTTGCTTTGGCATTCATCAGCCATGTGAAATGAGATGAGCCCTAAACTTTCAGAGTCACAGTTTCCTAGACTTCATCATTTCTAAGGTGTCTTGCACCTTTGCAATATATAAAAATGCAGTACACGGTAGGCATGCGGGATATTTTATAAATAGAATTCAATAGAATTCGATGAATAATTACTAACTCACTAGCAAATAGGATTAGTAATACGTATTTAAAGTCAGAATAAATTCTTTAGCCATGCCATTTTTTTATTGTATCAAAGATAATTTCCAGTTTTCCATAATAACATGGCATGTGATTGTTTTAATAAATCCTTATGGCTACTTGGTTTGCATATTACCCTCCAGCTAAAGAGAACACAGCACACACTTCAAGAAAAATACAGGTGCACTGGACCAATACTACTCAGCCTAAGAGTGGTTTGGTGAAGAAGAAAGACAATCCTGCATTCCAGCAGACCTTTAGCCCTCATCCTCACTAATAACATAATATTTAATGGAGGGATGCCTGGGTTGCTTGGTCACTTCAGTGACCAATTCTTGGTTTCAGCTCAGGGCATGATCTCATGGGTCACGGGGTTGAGCCCCTTGTGGAGCGCTGGATCAGGTCAGTGGGGAGTCTGCTCCAACATTCTCTCCCTTTGCCCCTCCCCCCACGTGTGTGTGTGCATGTTCCCACTCTTTCTAAAATAAGTAAATAAACCTTAAAAAATGTTTAATTCCAGAAATTGGTACTTTATAAACTTGCATATTTAAAATGAAAGCATAATCAAAGACCATAAGAGGAAGCAAACATTACTGTCTATTCTTTATAGAGTAGATATAAACCAGGAGAGTTCACTATAAAATGACACTGTTGCCTCCATCCCTGCAGTTAACTTACGTTTGCAACGGGAGATGTCTTCTCAAGAAAAATACAGCCTAGTGAAAATGTGTCTGTAAAATGAAATAATTATGATGGAAACCAGCCGTCCTTCCCTAAATGTGGTTTCAGGAATAACAGATCTGCTAGAGATCGCTAGTGGGGATTTCACAGCCTTTTTGTTTTCAGTGTTTGCATGCTGTAAGATCTTGACCTCAGAGCCACGCAGTTTCTCTGCTTCCAGAGCAGTGGGAGTTTGCACTCTGCAACCAGAACTTTCTCACGCCCTCCTTGGTTGTCATACGTATGATATTTTCCTAGGGCCATGCCGGACCTCCTCCCATAGACACCTTATGATGTAACACAAGTCCCCTTTTCTCAGTGGCGCAAGTCTAAAGCCTCGCTTGATGCCTCTCAGGGCAATGATTCTCTCACCTTACCTTTTTTTATTGAAAGTTCCAACCACCTTTGTGCAGCTGGAGTTGTCTCCCCCACACACGGCACACTTGTCATACTGCAGCTTTGAGCCGATGATGCCATCACAGCCGGTGCGTACACACTTGCCCCGGACGCAGACGGAGTTACTATATGGCCTGCATTCGGTCCCATCCGTCACCTGAATAACAAGGACCCCGTTAGCAATGGGAAGGTATCTGTGCACAGGTACTTGGTTTCCATGGTAAAACAGCAAGTTCCAATTTGTGGAGTTTTGTGTTTGACAGGGATAGTGCATCGAAAAATAACCAACCACCCCCAAACCCTAGTGGCCTGGAGTATCTAACTGAAAAATCCTGATGTCTTGCCAGAAAGCAGATCTGGGATAAATCTGGGTTATGCCCTTTTTCTCTTGAGCTTAATTCCAAATATGCCAGGAGACCTAAGTTACCCATTTCCCTTTCTGCATGCAGAGCACAGTCTCCAGGACGATTTCCCTTAGCCTGAGGGACTTGTCACTTGTGTGGAGAGCAGAAAATGAACACGCTCCAGATTGTGGAGATCCTTCTTTGTGGCATAATTGTTACTATAGAAATAGATTTGAAAATCTGAAATTGACATTCTAAACCTTGTTAATGGCTGGAAAGCATTCCCTATCATGTGCTGAACTGTCAGATGCTGAAATAGAGACCAAAAAATTAGCGTAGAAAGAGTCTAGGGAAGTCAGAGGAAAGTACTTGCTGGCAGACACTGACTGTATGTTGAGTAAAGGAATCAGTATGTTCTTAAAAAGCTAGTTATGGGGGCGCCTGGGTGGCTCAGACGGTAAAGCAACCACTTTCTGCTCAAGTCATCAACCCAGAGTCCTGGGATCAGACCCCGTTTCGGGCTCCCTGCTCAGCAAGAAACCTGCTTCTCCCTCTGCCTCTGCCTCTGCCTGCTGCTCTCCTACTGGTGCTCTCAGTCTCTCTCTCTGTCGATTAAATAAATAAAATCTTTAAAAAAAAAGTTAGTTGTAAAATAGTCCATATATGGACTCTCTGGTTTGTACGTGTGAGTATATATAAGAAATATATACAGTCTTGTATGTAAATAAACAGACGGGCTTTGTACTTGTGTATATACAACTCTTTTCATGTGTGTGTGAGTATGTGAGTGTGTGTATGTGTGTGAACCAAAGCAGGATACACGTCAACAGGCTCACAGCTCTCCAGGCGGTGGCAATGCCAGCTGATTATTTCTGCTCTTTATTCTTTGTCCTATCTTTTAAGTGAAAAATATATTATCTTGGGGGTGCCTGGGTGGCTCAGTGGGTTAAGCCTCTGCCTTCGGCTCAGGTCATGATCTCAGGGTCCTGGGATCGAGCCCCGCATCAGGCTCTCTGCTCAGCAGGGAGCCTGCTTCCCTCTCTCTCTCTGCCTGCCTCTCTGCCTACTTGTGATCTCTCTCTCTCTCTGTCAAATAAATAAAAAATCTTTAAAAAAATATATATTATCTTGGGATAAAAAGACAAAGTATTTTAAAAATTACTTAAGTTGGATGTTAACTTATTTTTCAGTCATATTTCACACAAATCTGGAGGCCAAATTCAGAGGGGATTTTAATGTAGCACATTATAAATTAGAAAAACATTATTTTATGTTGCTTCGTAACACCAATTGTGAGAAATAAAACTTAGTAATTTAGAAAATGCTGTCCTATGAAAAATAAGGGATAATTTCACATGCATATATTATAATGTCAATACCTATAAGGACATTGGTTCATATTAAGGGTGCAAGACGTTTAAAGTTCTGGGTCAGAAATGATGATCTTGAAACCTATTTTCATAAGGCACCAAAGAAATTCTTAATTAAATGATAGAAAAGTAGAAAGCTTTCTTGCTTTCAGTTTCCTATACCAATGTACTGAGGAAATTCTAGTTGTTTTCATGGCAATTTTGAAGTGAAGGTCACACATTACGTTCCCTGACAGAGAGTTACAACTTTTCCAAAATAGCTTTTAAAACATTAACTTGTTTTGTTTACAGGATATTTTTTGTTCTTTGTATAAGTTTTGCAAATATAGACACTATAGAGATGAAAATAAAACCCTCCAAAACCTAGTCACCCAATAAATAATGACGGTTGATATTTGGTATCTCTAGGCTTTATTCCACCAAATAATTTCTGGCGAGAATGCCTGCCGTTTCTGGACAGTTGGTGTGCAGTTACCTTTGGAGAAAACACCACATAGTAACCAGTGCCCTTGGCTCTGCAGGTCAGTTTGCACACGTCTCCCAGCAGGACGCCTGCATATTTGGGGACCCACTCCACAAACGTTTTGACTCCTTTTGCGTCAGACTGATACCCATTTTTGGCCTCACACTGCTCGTGACGAAAAGATTTACCTAAAAAACAAACAAGTCATGTTATTACTTTGTCTCTTCTGAAGCTCAGGCATAGTCATGTGCATTTAAGTAATTTTAACGTGAAGATGAGAACTTTCTTTTCAGAGCTTCTTTACATACCAGCACTGGGTTTTATCTGTACACGGGAGTTGAAAGCAACAATTATTTTCTTCCTACCCTCTAAATTCTAATTTTTTTATTAGTAGTTTAAAAAATCGTTCATGTATTTGTTATTGATTTGCACACTGGTGGAACTGTGGAGTACAAGATGAACAGGTGATTTCTCCAGCCCTATCTATTACTGCTAGAATACAAATTACACGTGGCACATGGTGGTTGCTGACACTTGGGAGCAGCATACCATTAGGTGGGCAGGGCATGACGTTGCAGGAGCGGTAGATGGCCCTCTTCCCTGTGCAGTAGCGGCCACTGTTTCTGGGTGCAGGATTATTGCAGTGCCGGTAGGCAAACTGTACTCCTCCCCCACATGAGCGAGAACACTGGCCCCAAGGCCCCCAGGACCCCCAGTTGCCATGGCTTGATGTCTAAAATAAAAAATAGAAGACATTTTAATGCAGAAGGGAGGAAAAAAAAAACATTCAAAACGTACATTTAGAAATCACTTGCCTCCAATACCATAGTGGAAACCCCATCTCAGGTATAAATTTTCACGGACTTGAACATGGCCATAGATATTGGACATTCTGGAATTATAGTGCAAGTCCAATTCTAAGCAAGTCATTGCTTCTGCTCCCTGCTGCCCCCTGGCACTAGGATCTGGATGTTTCCCTGGCAGAACAGAGCACACTACAAGGAGTCCCGGGTTTCTCTGTGCCTTCTGATATGGTGCATTGCTGTTAATAACCACTTGAACCATAGCTAACTTTCTGTCAACTCTGATCCTGCATCTTTGACAAAATATATGATGCTAAAGATTGTGCATGATGCCTGGCATGGTTGGTTGCATTTACATTTTTTCTCCCTGTTTAGCACTGACATTCTGCATTCCCTTGTTGATACCACACATCCCATCGGAGACAGACCCTCTGTCACATGCATAATGCATTTGACCTGAGTTCGGCTTCAGTCTCATTAGACTAGAGTCCTTCTCCTTAGAGAGGGAATGTGACAGATATTGAAATGCACCCACCTCCCATGCACACGCCACCTGCGCCCACACCATGGGGCAGTGATAGACTCTGGATCTATCATTCTGTAGCAGGAAGTGGAGCAACTTCTAGAGAGAAGACTATTATAAACCCCTTTGCTTAGGACTGGGTGAAGAATTTGTTCTGGCTCCTGTCAGAGTATCTAAGAATGCACCGTTGTAGGACAGTCTTAGAAGACAGAAGCATTGTGCCCTCTGTCAGTGCTCTCCTCGGGACTTCGAAACTCAGAGATGAGCCCGCAAATGCTTTGCTTGGGCATCTCAAGGAAAAATATTTTAACTGGGAAAGAAAGCCTTCTTGTGACAGTGCCCACACATGTCACAGGAATGGACTTCAGATCTTGTGTCCCCAGGCATTGCGTGACAAGCAAATCACTTACTGAATAATATTTTTTCTTAGTTTTGTCCACACACTTGCCCTGCAGACAGATTCTCCCTTTCCCACATGGTGTCCCCTCCACGGCTGGCAGCTTCTTGGTGAGACACACCATCTGGCCTTGGCGCACCACGGCGCACCAGAGGCGGGCGCAGACATCCATGCCGGGGCACACGGAGTACTCGGGCCCAAAAGTCAGGTTGCACTGTTGCGTGGCATCGTACGTCTGTCCAGGGAGTTCTTCCGGGCCCAGGATCTGCTTGCGGGGTAGATCTAGCAAACAGTTACCTGAAAGAATAACCAAGACTGACCACTGCTCTGTGTTTGGGTTTCAAGCTACTAAAATCCCGCTTCTGAAAATGCAGTGCTCACAGATCTGCAGGCTGAGGCCCTGGAGGAGGGACTCCGGGGCCAGTAAAGTGCACCTCTTTGCATTCCCGAACCCCCTCCAGGATTTTCCGTGGGCTAGCTATGTGCTCTGGGACATCTCTAATAATGGCAGTGGGATGATTGAATAAAATTATTTTGTAATAATTAGTTGTGAAAATAGCCATTGTGCTGAGGGACTAGGAGAAATTGGGACGGACCTACAGGAAATAATATAATGGACATAACAACAACGACAATAATCATAGTAAATAAGCATTTACAACTCTGAGAAAGAGTTTATCCATGTTGTCTATACTTTTGTCTACTTTTAGCTTTTCTCTTCCTCACGTGCCCACCCAAGTCTCCTCCCCATTAATTTCATAAACAATAACAAAGTGAGACCTGATTCATTCTTGCCCTCAACAAGCATTTGGTCAGCACCTACAATGTTCTAGCAAACATACTAGATATTGGGAAAACACAAAAAAGACCCAGATCCACCCCCTCCACCCTCGCGGTCTCCCACTAAGGTGGAGAAAACAGAAAAAATCAAGTATTTCTTCTGCACGTATATGAATTTTAATAAAGAATTCAAGAGTCACAGAATAAAGGAGCAGTGGGCAAAGACAAGACATTATCTCTGATAATTTGGAATGAAACCCATCTTTTAATCCTTCTTCTTTGTCACAGTTTGGGTCTGTTCTTTAACACAGCTAGTAGTTGTTGGGTGCTCGAAGTATGTTGCACAAAGAAGTTGGTGTTCTCCTTACATAATATGGGGGATATAAAGGAGTAAGTTTGGGGGAATCAATAGAAGTGGCCACTTACTCAGGCAAAACAAATTCAGAAGCTCTGGGAAGCTTCCCTAAGACTCCCTGACCTATGGTTAACACCATGAATTGTCTCTGGGCCTACGGGATCATGCACATCGCCCACCAGTTTCTGCCCACTTTTGTCTACTTAGGATTTTGGGATTTTCTCATCAACTATTCATAGTATTAAAAATAAAAAAAAATATTTGTTACACATTTATACCATTTTCCCTTTCTTTTCTTTTTTATTTTTTAAGATTTTATTTATTTATTTGACAGACAGAAATCACAGGTTGGCAGAAAGGCAGGCAGAGAGAGAGACAGGGAAGCAGCTCCCCACCGAGCAGAGAGCCCAATGCAGGGCCTGATCCCAGGGACCCCGAGATCATGACCTGAGCCGAAGACAGAGGCTTAACCCACTGAGCCACCCAGGCACCCCACCATTCTCCCTTTTATAAATGTATTTACTTGTTGGGGCGCCTGGGTGGCTCAGTGGGTTAAGCCTCTGTCTTCGGCTCAGGTCATGATCTCAGGGTCCAGGGATCAAGCCCCACATCGGGCTCTTTGCTCAGTGGGGAGCCTGCTTCCTCCTCTCTCTCTCTCTGCCTGCCTCTCTGCCTACTTGTGGTCTCTGTCTGTCAAATAAATGAATAAAATCTTTAAAAAAAATGTATTCACTTGTTTAATCCTCACAAGAACTCCACAGAGCAGATTCTACTATTTTCCTTTTCTTACAGATAAGGAAATTGAGAAATGGAAAAATTGGTCAATGAGCCAAGGTCACATAGCTATTAGGAATTTATGCTCAGAGCCTGCCTTCTTCATTGCATACCATCTTGCCTCTGCATGTGGGTAGATTTCCTGTTTTATTGTGGACCTGGCAGGTGTGTGGAGGAATCCTTCAAATAACAGATACCGTGTCTAACGGTGGAAACACCCAGTCTAAAGTCTAATTCTGGCCAAACACCAAGTGGCTGAGTGCTCTTGACCAAGTTAATTAACATCTCCTTAACGGATTTTCAAGTTCTGGGAAATGTGTCTCTTCTCATTGTGACACTGTAAGGGTAGATAACTAACAGATATAAAGGGTGACCAGAAAAATACAAAGCAATGACAGTTGATACTATGCTCAACGTATTTAACAATTTTAGATATATTCGAGTCATTCTTTTTACTTAACAAAAGAAAATCGCATTTCAATCCTACTTTCCACTGAGACATGGAAGAGTCAGCATGTTTTAAGTATACTGCAAATATTTTCGCAACTACATTCAAGTTTCTTCAAAGTGAATACCTTAGATTTGTCAATCTGTGATGGAAGCATTATATGAAAATGAATACGGAGCAGAGTTCCTATTTAATTTCTGAGCCAGAACGTTTGAAGAGGTAAAGCTTCTGAAGGCAAGCCAGAAAAAGCATTAAAAATAAGTAACCAGCCAAAGAGAACTTTGGGAGAAAAACATCCAGTTAAAAGAAAAACATCAGCACCGAGTCAATAGGAAAGATTGATAGTAAACCCTCACTAAACTTTGTTTAGTAAGATTAGGCACGAGAACTCCAAGAGAAGCATTATCTTCATTGTTACACTAAAAAGAAAAAAAAAAAAAAAGGGATGCCTGGGTGGCTCAGTTGGTTAAGCAGCTGCCTTTGGCTCAGGTCATGATCCTAGTGTTCTGGGATCGAGTCCCTCATTGGGCTCCTTGCTCAGCAGGGAGCCTGCTTCTCCCTCTGCCTCCGCTGCCTCTCTGCTTGCATGTGCTCTCTCTCTCTCTTTCTCTCTCTCTCTCTCTCTGAAAAATAAATAAATAAATAAAATCTTAAAAAACAAAAAAGAAAAAAAAAAAGGAAGAAGATTATATAAACTAGGGAATGCACCACAGATTGCTGATGTTACAAGACTGTCAACAAATTTCTGAGACAGCAAGAATGCTCTCCAATTCTTCAAAAGTGCTGTTTTAAGAAACTCTTATTTTACTAAAAAGCACAGAACCGTTAAGACTGCACCACTAAGGATTAGCTGGGAAGTCTTTGACGTGCGTGGGTACACGTGGCGTGGGTCCACCTTGTTCGTCTCAAGCCAACATAACTCACCACCTCTTTGTGGACTTGTAGTCACTGACCTCTTTCTACCTCTGTAGGACATGATGAGCAGAAAGAAATGTAGAATTCAATTAGAAATCAACGTATAACAAGTAGACTTCAAGATGCGGCCATCTCTTTAAAAAGCTTAAGCCAAAGTAGAAGTTTTGTTCTGTTTTTGTTGATTTGAGTATAGCTGACAGATAATGGTACATTAGTTTCAGGTCCAAAGTATAAGTTTTAAAAAATGAATCACACTTTTTCTTTGCTATGAAAGATACCGCATCTCAGCTCTATGGTTTTCCCTTAGAGAAAGGGAACTGGGGTGGAGTTCCTGCTTATAATCAAATGATTTATTTCAGAATCACCATTAATTTATTATTCCAATATTCTCATCAGGATGTGTTGCTGCATTAGTTTCTGTTTACTCTATACATTGAATTTTGACCATTTGCAATAAAATAGGTATAGACATCTCTCGCAGATGGAATGCTTTCCATCGTTGTACTATGGAACAACAACAAAAAATAATCTAGAGCCTGATTCTGAATCTCATGATATGAAATATTTAAAATCTAATGCTGGATTACTGTCCTTTTTTTTTTTAAAAATGTTACAGTTTGGGGGAAGAATGAAAGAGACAATCTGTCAATCTTTCAGTATCATTTGCATTGAGCTCTAAAAGCAGCCAATCTACCGCTGACTTTTCTGAATCTGCTTGGCTTTTATTCTCAACCACTCCTTCCTACCTAGTTCACAAATATTTCACTTTATCCCAGTCTGAAATCCTATCTGGGCTTTGTTGCCAACATTTTGCCTGTTTGTTCTTTTCCACACATTGCCAACTTGTTTTTTTTTCTTTTCCTCCCTGCATCCTTCTTTTCTTTTGTTTTAACATATCCTATGTATAAAAATGGATAGCTTCCAAAAGAAAGACAATACAAATGTGTCCATATTGCACTTTTTTTTTTTTTTTTTGCCATCCGTGTTCAGTTAAATGCTTAAAGGTAAAAAAATTAAAAAAGTAAAAGGCAGTGATTTGTGATGGACAAACAAAGGAAAGAAAGTGGAAGTCTCCCCATGGCCACAGAGTATACTACGGGTCATGGAAGGTGTGCGAGACCGCTGGGAAACAGAGCAGAAAAATCGTGGCTTTTTTGTACCTGACAGCCAGCACTGTTTGTCCTTCATTTTAATGATTAATGAAAATTATCAGCTCAAAGTTAGCTCTTCTCTAGTCTTTTCGTATTTTCTTCTCTGTTTCTAACGCTATGGTTATTTCTGTCCTTTTTTCCTTTCTAATACACAGGCATGAAATTAGGCATCAGCCCAGATATCCACGGCATATCAGAAATCAATATTCCTAATGAAACTCATCCATTGCAAATTGTCCCCTTTTACTTCCAAGCGCATCTCCCTGGCCTGGCAACTCAAAGTTCTTTCAGGTCTTTATTTGAATGGCTAACATGAAAGAGAAACTGGTGTATTATGGGCATCAGTGGCAGATGAAAGGTGGCAGAGAACACTTAAAGGCGCTGAAATGTACAGACCATGGTTGCTGACCAAAAGCGATCCTGAGGGTCTGTTTGTGAAACTGTCACAAGCTTTAAGGGCTCTGTTTAGCAAACGTGATGCCAAGGAAATTGGATGGAAAAGTGTCCTTATTAAAGAATGAAGCATAGTTGTGATAGTTGTGGTGTTTTTTTTTTTTAATACAGGTCCCCATGTCCTTAAAATATATGTCTTACGTACAGACTCTTTCAAAGAACATATTTATTGTGAAAACTGAGATCCTATCATGACGGACCTTGAAATGTATGAGTACTACCTTAAAAACTGAACATTAAGATCTTATTTATTACTAGCCTGTAGTCTCCACAGACAAAGAATTCACAGAACTGGGAGAACCAGGTTTCTAATAGCATTTTATCTCCAAAGTTCTGTGGTTAGTGGATGCTGTAAACTTAGTTCTTTAAGCATGCTGCATGTTAATATTTCACAGTTCTCTCTAGATTTTCCTTTGTAGTCTGTTGTCAAGAGGGTTCCCAAGCTGTGCCTGTTTGGGAGGTGGCCTTTCGTGGACTTAGGGAGAGAGCAGAGGTGGCTATCTTTCTTGGCTTCAAGGTTATTAGCATTTGAGAAAGGAAATTCAATAACCTGCTTTCACTGCACAATTTCCTTGCCAGTGCTTACCTTATTTCTGAGGTCTTGCCAGCTTGCCTAGAGCTAACTTGTATAAACACTGCAGAATGTCTATAAGGATCTTGGCAAAGCTGGTTGGGGAGGGGGGTTCCCCTGAGACATGGCTTCTCCTTTCTGAATCACAAATCTGCAGGCACAGTTATTTTAGTGTGTGCATGTAGGCTTTTCGACCATAACCGAATTGCTACATAGTTCTTGGAACTAAATCAGGAAACACTCAGGATTAATGAATTTAAATTTGGCAGTGGGAGAGTGCTACAAATGTCCAGCTACTTATGGCTAATAATTTTAAAAACAAATCAAATGATTTGAATTTAATTGTGCCTTAAGACCTCATTTCTCTAGAGCCACTGGAGGTGAGAGGGAGAGATGCGATGTTATCTATAAATGGGTTTTCCAGAAAAAGAACACTTTAGGTCCCATTGAAAAATTGTGTAAGTCTTGGGAGAATATCTCCTTCAACATAGCAATGGTTTTGCAGCCTCTATATTAGTGTCACAATTCAATTTTCCTCGGTAATTGAAAATCACTTTTTTTCTAAGTATCAATAATGGTATCATGTGAAATATGGAGATACCTTCGGGGATCATGGTGGTGTGATACTGTTTTAGACCCTTTGGGAAAAGGAGCCAGATCTCTGAACTGTCAATGATTCAGGGCTATACTTGACAGCTTTTCTGGTTTCTCCCTTATCATCAAATGATATCCCTTTTCACTTTCAGTCTATCTGTCTGAAGTGCACCCCGGGCCTCCTACCATGACTATTTCATTGCTTAAAATTGTTATGGCTTATAAAATTAGTGCAGAAAAAGAGTAGAACTATTTCTATTAACTCTGAATGAATGGCTTGGGATGGAAGTCTGAGTCATTTCCTATGAGCAACGTAAAACGGTTTTACCATATGATTTTTTGGTATCAGTGGAGTCTTGTAAGAAAGATGTGTTTGATTGTTTTCCTTTCCTCTAGGATTTTGATGCTCTCCCTGGTTCTCTCGCAAGCTCTGAAGTTGAAATATCAGAGCCTCAAACATCTCAAAATTGTGCTTACTAGTTCCTATCATCACACTTTCACTTAAACTAACTTAAGTCAGTTTTCTGGTGACAGGGTAAAAGTTACTGAATTATTTGAATTCATGTTTAAATGACAGTGCTTAGAGCATACCACTGTTTCAATATCTGTGAGAACTGTTTTCAAATGAGCATAGTTGAGCTTGGCTAACCCTAACCATGGTACCATTGCCTTTTTTGGCTTTCCATATTCTGAAATGACTTCATTAGAGGCTACTGATAAAATCAGTGTGTGTCTGTGTGCATATGCATGTGCGTGTGTGTGTGTGTGTTCTGGTTGTAACACAAGACTGCCTAAACAACACATTAAAAAATGAGAGTCTAAGCTTGATGAAATGAGTTAATTAATAAGTAAGCTTATCAGGTATATATTGTTCCAAGAATTTTGCTAATTTAATCAATTTATTCAACATACCCATGGGAAATTCAGAAAAGATTGTATCAGTGCCAGTAAACAAAATCTACCTCTATTAGATGTATGTTCCTTAGTTGTTATCTACCATGAGGATCTCTGGAATGGACACAGTAAGCTGTATAGAATATGTCATTTGTTGGAAAAGTTTTAAAAAGCTGAGTGTGGAGACTTTTAAATACAGAAGTAATGTTAAGAAATGAAGACAATACTGAAAGCATATTTACTGCACAGAATGTAAGATCATGAATTCCACAAACATGAAATAAACGAATCATTCCAAAATTATGGCAAGAAGGAACAAAATTCGGCACAGCATTGTAATTAGCTGATCTAATACTTGCACAGGAAAAAAAGAATTGGTCCCATTTTAGCCATAACTATTTGCTGCCTTAGCAACTAAATCCATTCATTTAAGGATTCAAACTTTAGCTCAAACTTTTGGAATGTGTAATGTGTGATTCTGAAATAAAATATTAATGTTATTTCATTTTCAGAAAACCTGAAAAAAAGGGCAGCAAAAGCAGTATTAAAAGTGGAGACTAGAGTTCCACCCAAGAGGGACTTCATTAGATACTGACTTGGTCAGTGTGGACAGGGAGATAATTAGGTAAACATTCACTGCAGGACTTTATCAGCATTAAATTAGCATTGTAAACTGAGCTACACAGAAAATTATCACTTAGTATTAGTCTAAAGGAAAAGCCTAATACATTGATTCCTAGTATTTTTTTCCTAAATCTTTGCGTTATTGGGATGTCCTTTTAACGAGCAGAGAACAGACTGTATTGAGGGAAATTTTAAACCAGGCTAGGCATGTGGATTGTTTTTAGGAATAGGATATTTTAAAAAGTTTAAAGTAACTAAAACATTACTGGTTCACCACTATTGCAGCAAAACTGAGTTAATGAACAGATTTTTCCTCCAAGAGACTAAAGAACTGTGTGGCAGAATTCCTTTTTGTCTAAAAGAGCTGAATTCATCAATTGTTTTGACATTACACAGCCAAAGTTCAAAGTGGCCAGCATGCCATAATATCTTAATATTATGAAATAGGATATAAACTTTATGGAACTAGGTAAAACAACTATCAGAGACTCTCCTTAGCTAACTCTGAACCACACATCATGAGATAATTTTATGGACAGTTATTATGATCAAAAAATTTCTGTCATATTCTGTCCATACTCAGTCTTTTGGAAAGAGACAAATTTTAAGAGAAAAAAAGAAGGAATGAGAATAAGTCCATTTTTATAACATGAGAAACTTGAACTACATTGGCGTCTGTAGTTGAATCACTTGACTAATGCATCTATCCTCCTGTGCCTCTAGTAGTTTCAAGTCCTATGAGATGCTAGGAAATTAGCAACAGCTTGTTTTGAAGACTACTTAAGGGTCAGAATTTATTATTTCTAAAAATCTTGACTTCTTTGGTATTTTTATGTAATTTACAGGACCAATCCCCGATTTGCAGAATTTAATAAAATAGGTTATGCTCTTGAACTGTATCTAGTGGGTAAAGTCAAAGATTTTCTTTCGAAGTTCTTAAAGTGTTTTCCCGCTATTCAGATTGATTTTTCTCTTTCTGTTCTGCAGTTTTCACTCTACTTCCCAGAGAATCTGCTGTCAGGATGAAGCCAGATTCTTCCAGTGAATGCAAATCTAAAGAGCTTCCTTTATGGTTTTCTGTTGCCATAAAGAGGATCTGACAGAATTGTCACCTATGTTTTAACCACACCCCTATAATAGGCATGTAACAAATAATTCTGAGAGTCATATTAATAGCAGGGAAACAAGATGTCTGCCAACATTCTCACAGGAAGCTAGTGGTGAAAGACGGAATAAAAGCCAGGCTTTCAGGGCACTGGCGAGGCATTCTGTGTGGTCTCCCACACTGCTTCTCTTTTGAACATTTCAATTCCAAAGCAAAAATACCATAGCTACAATGCCACCAAGGACGTTGGCATTATACACCAACAGACCATCCCTCTGCTCCTTTCCTGACCCTATCTAAACAACCATTGTCTCAGGAGGCATGGTGGGCTTCATGAGGATGTCATAAAGTAACACTGGTAATAATCTCCCCTAAGTGTTGTTATTGAGCCTGTGTTGTCTTAAATGACACATACCGTGGCCATCATCCAGGAATTCTGTGATGGTGGCTGAGGTGCACTTGGACCAGGGTTTGGATGCATCAATGCTCGTTAGGATGGAAGACATTAAGCGCTTATCTTCCGTGGAACCAAAGTTTTCTTCACAGAACTTGGAATCATCATGAGAGAGGCCAAGGAGATGTCCTAAAGCAGAGAAGAGAAGGAATGCAATAATGGGTGATTTTGCATTTCTACTTTTCTATGACAATTACACGAGCACTTGGTTTCCCACCTCCCAGCTCCCCCCCCAAATGTACATGAGATAATTTTAACTGCCTTCTCATGCACAGGCTGGACCCCCAGGGAAATTAAAGCTGTGTGTAGTCAGAGCAGTCACTTTGGGTGAAAATTTAGGGGAAAACTGAAAAATTACATCAAGGAGTGGATGATCCCATAATCCATCTGGATCACACATGCTCAATGACATGTAGAAATGGGCCTTATTTAGAATCCAGAATTGGCAACTATGGGATTATGTCATAGCCCTCACTACATATTATTTTGATTACTTGTCTAATTTTCCGCCTTCTCCGATTAACCATGAGCCCCATGAGATCAGAGAGCATCTCCCCCATCTACTATTGAAATCTCTGTATTTAACTCAATGTTCTGCAAGTTGCAAGCACTTAATAGATGGTTTTTGAATATCAATAACTTCTATTTTCTTGGCCAAGTTAATAGGTAGCTAACAATCTGAGAGACGACTGGGGGGAAAAGAAAGAGAAATTATGAACTTGCCGATTCCAGGCAAAGATAAGCTCGCTTTCACCCTTCCAATTCTTTCATTTGCAAAGTTCTGCATGTTTACTAATCCCACAAATGAATGATATATTTTGAAAACACACCCATTTACATTGAAGAAATGTCTAAAATACCAAGATGCCATTCATGGAGTGTTAAAGCTTAAAGAGAAAACAAATACTAAGAAGATAAGTCATTGTCCAAATTTATCAGTTTATCATTCTGCCTCGGTCCACCACACATGGTCTCTGCAATCCCACGCTGCATTTCCAGTCTACCAAGCTAGGTATCCTAACCACATTTTTATCATCAAAATTGTTTTCTTATTATATAAGATTAATTTTCACATCGTCTAAGGATAAAATGACACTCACCAGTAAATCTAAAATATTGTTTTAAAAAAATTCCAAGGCAGTGGTTTGTATAGACTCTAAAAAAGCAGACAAGTAGACCTCAGTTGCTTTTTTTTTTTTTTTAGTAAAGCTTTATAGAATCATACACATAGCATTAAAAAGGGTGTATAAAATACTACAGAAAAGTGATTAATGCATTCTTTTTGGGCTCCTGTATGCCAAAGAGAGGGACTTTTGGCCATTCTGCCAAAAAAAAAAAAAAAAAAAAAGAGTCCAGCATGCAACAGTAAAACCCAACAGAGATGAAATCTTTCATGCCACATTCCAAGTACTTTTGGCCAACTTGTTAAATCACCAACACCTCATAACAAAATTGTCCACTGAAGCAGCTGCTTGCTGCTGTGGCTGAAGTTAAGTGGCTAGGGCTCGGTGACCTTCCAAAGCTCCACATTTTTATGGTATTTATGCAGTTATTTACTTCAATAGCATTTGCCAGCCTAGCAAGTTTTTGGTGGGAAACCCTCCTGCTCTCATGTTTTATTTGCTCAGTAGCACGAATGTGCATCAGAGTCTGTGAAGTATGGCCCAAGTCACATGCAACAGACTGGCAGGGCTTTGTCCAAGTTTTGGGTGGTATGTTGATTTTTTTTTCCTGCAACCCGCAGCTCAGAAAAAACCCGAACATTTCATCATGCCCGGCTCAAAATGACTTGAAGTTACTTGGTACATCTAACACTTATTGAGAAGGCACTCTGTGCTTCTTGAACTTTTCCACCATAGAATCTTTATCAGCTAACATTGTGGGATTTGTGTGGAAGTTTCACACTTGGGTTTTTTCCCCTGGCATAGAAAAGAAAGAGGGAAAGTGGCCTAAGGTGACCTCTGCCACATAACATTTATTTGAATCCAGGTTTTGTATTTTAGAAAAACATGTGACTTCTCATTCTAGTTCGTAAGATAGTCATACTTACTTAACAAAGCAATAGTATTTTCCTCCAAATATATCTAAACAATTAGCACTTTCTAGATGGATATTTTTAGGATTTTATTTATTTGAGAGAGAGCGAGAGAAAACATGAGCCGGGGGAGGTACAGAAACAGAGGGAGAAGCAGACTCCCCTCAGAGCAGGGAGCCTGACATGGGGCTGGGATTATGACCTGAGCTGAAGGCAGATGCTTAACCAACTGAACCATCAAGTGCCCCTAGATAAATTTTTATTATGGCATCCAAGTGATTTTCACTTCTTTTGGAGGGTAAGTTTCAGATTTCTGATTTAAAAAATACAGGCCATGTATGGGCACCTGGATGGCTCAATGGATTAAGCCTCTGCCTTCAGCTCAGGTCATGATCTCAGGGTCCTGGGATCGAGTCCTCCATCAGGCTCTTTGCTTGGCAGGGAGCCTGCTTCTTCTTCTCTCTCTGCCTCCCTCTCCACCTACTTGTGATCTCTGTCTGTCAAATAAATAAATACAATTTTTAAAAATAAATAAATAAATAAGATACAGGCCATGTAGCAAACACCAAATTCTCTTTGAGAAATCCGGCAGAGTACCTCAAATTTTTCTTTCATACAGAAAGGTGAGGCATCTAATTTTATAAAGATTTCAATTATATAAGGAAAGCTGTTTATTTAAAAATATTTTGGTACAGTTTTATGAATCTTTTGGCATGTGACTTGGCATAATATTGTGAATTTTATGCTCCCTAAATTTGCTAATTTATCAATGTAACTTAATTGCTGCCAAAGATACATATAAGGTATTTTTATATGACAACCCAAAAGATTGCCATTCTGAACATAAACAAACCTTAGTTCCACTTCAACAAGAACTAAAAGAAGATGTGAATTTTGTCAGTTCTGCAAAAGTGAGTCAGGAACAGGCTGCTTGAAGGTCAACTGAGAGACAGAGTCTTTGGAGGAATGTTTTGTCTTCCATGAAGAAAGTCTGTCAGCTTGCTGGGAGAGGCATGCTCTCTCAAGGACAACAGGAGTCATGGTCAACGTGAAGAACATTTAAGCACCCATGGAAACAGGCAGCTGGTTCCAGTAACTGGAACCAGGACACAGTGAGAGAGACCCATGTGACTTCCCTTCAGGAGCTGGACAGGAATTAAAATGGAAGATCAATGGGAGGGATGTTTGGATGCTCTTCAGGAGAGACGTGACAGCCATACTAAGGGCTGGGAACAGAAAAAGAGGTGGTTATTTTCAAATGTGATCCCCCAATCATGATGCTAAGACATGTAATGTTGGTCTGAAATTTGCCCATATCTTTGAGCAAGAAATGGCAAGATACTACAAAGGCACAAGCTGTTTTAAAAGGACATTCACATTAGAGAAAACACACCATGGTGCTAAAAGATTATGAACAGAAAATCCAGAAATCCAAGAAATTTAAACTATACTGTTGTAGCTGACAATAATACAGTACAAGTCAGTGTTGTGAAAGGCTTAATCAGAATGTATCATGATGTCACCGATCTCCTAGGACATCCGCCTTTTCCAGTGAGAGTTTGTTCATCAATCACCCACAGAGATGTTCAAAATCACAGGTGTGGGTTGGAGACTAAGCATTTCTCCACTAAGCAGCCTCTAGCAGGATTAGCACAGCTGGGATTTACACAAATATGTCCCAGAGAATAAGACAGCACAGGAAGAATATAAAGAATTGTTGGAGAAAATGTTTACAACCCCTAAATTAACTGGTTGTTTTATCGAGCTGTATCTCATGATGAGTTTTTGGAACAACACAGAGCAGAGTTAGTTGAGGCAGGAGGTCCTTGGAGGAGGCGGGGTGACGGGCCAAGAAACCCACAGAGAAAGGCAATATAGATATTTCTTTCTTGAGTCCATGTAGAAAAGAGGAGTGAAGAGGAGTCAGAGCAATTTTGAAGGTAAGAGTTTTGAAGAAGCTCAACCAAGCTGAGGCAGTAGAACCGTCCTGAGAAGCGACAACGCAGGTACTAAATTTAAGGAGGCAATTTCCTGTCAGGGTTTCGAGTAGGGGCCCCAAGGTCTTGCTCTAAGGACGAATTAGTAGTTGTATTTTTATTCATATTTTTATTTGGAGGTATTAGTATTTTGTAATTAGTAGACATGCAAAAGATTGAAGAGCAGTTTGTTGGCTTAATCTCGCTCATGAGGCAATCTTTCTTAGTCAATCATTAGTTCTTGGTTGATGTAATTGGTAACCTCTCATCTCAAATCCTGAGAAGATGAAGGAACAAACACACTTGAGTAGTGGATGCACTAGTTAATGGCATTTGTATTTATATACAAAAGAAGAAAATAAAAGGTATTACAGGAGTCAGAGGGAAACTCAGAGAATAATGCAACCGCGTAATCCAATATTTCCCCACGTGATGCAGACCTCAGAACTCTATCTTGCTTTTTGAAATCATTAGTAAAAATCAAGATGTAAGTTGAAAATGCTTTTGGAGAAAATACTAATCTATTCTTAATAGATATTAAATCATATCACAAATACAACAATCTTGCTAATGAGTGCCCATCACACAAAGTGACATCAGGAACGAGTTTATGTGGATTACATTAAGGAAATGAACTTCACAGTAAATTATGTCAAAGCAAGGTCTCCAGGATAAGAGTCTGAATTATATTGTTATCTCAGAATTAGCAAATAATTAGTCAATGGTAATTTCTCTAGTATGATAATTATCTTTTTAAAGGCAAATGGCAACATTAAATTAAATTAAAGGCAACATTTCATTAAATACATTTCATCACTGATATTCACAATATAGACTCAAAAAGTATTTTGCCTCCTTAAATTCACAAATGAATCTGATGTTAGAAAATCTGAGATCATGTACACTGGGTGAAGACACGTTACGAGAAAGGAAAATATTGGTCCAGCTTTTTATTCAGCTCAGGTGTTACTGTACCACAAGGGCTGACTTATCACATCAACCTCAGGAAGGAAATCTGTTTGTTTTTCTAAACTTTGGTCTGAAAATTAAACAGAATTTCAAACTCTTGTCTCTTGACCCCAAACTGACCAATGAACAAGGGGACACAGAACCACATC